GCAACATTAAAGTTTACAACAAAACGTATTTAAGCAAACAAATCCAATATCGATACAGTGTTTAAAACTGCAAAGTTGAATTTCAAAACTTTCCCCGAGCACCGTCGTCCCGTGCGACGTGGAATTTTACACAACAATGAAAATCAAAAGCGATCTGCATGTCGACGAAACGCGCCCGCCCTGGGGAAATCACACGCGAGAGGCGCCCGAAGTATTAACAATTTTCATTACATCTCGCGCTCGTGTTAACGCGGCGCGCTCACTTATCGGAATCGTTTACGGTTATTTTCGGGCTCTTCAACCATTGCGCGCGAAACGTCCGCGATATTTGTTTTGAATCGCGTGGGATAGCGCCGATGGGCGTTTATGAGGGCCTTTAAAGCGTTTCCGATATGCTATAGTATTTATGTTTGCCCTCCCTATATGTTACTGAATAGATTTTGTGTATGCAATTAGTCAGTTTATTTCTCACAATGATATTACAGAATTAAAAATGTAAATGTTAAAAACGCTCGCGTTTTTGAATTTTTCATATAGTTTTAGTATTATATGGCAACAGTACATGGCAACGTAACAATAGTATTTGTTGAATCACACAAATATTTGTGCTGTGTTTGAATTGAACTCACACAGACGATGCACATTACAGTTGCTAAGATGCACTTTTCAACTTTGAAACATTACCCTCTCTGTTTAAATGAGTCAGTTCACCTTTGGTACATTTAGATTCCGTATGGGCATAGCTCAAACTAATTATTTCACAGAAGTATGCTTTGCGTGTATAATAAAAACATCATGTCTATTTCTTCTTAAAGAGGCATACCTCATACTAATCAATTCAAAGAAATATCAACATTATGCCCATCGTATATGATAAAAAATATCGTGTATATTTCTTCTTAAAAGGATTTACTTCAAAGTAATTAATACACAGAAATATCAACACTATGCTTTGCAAACATAACAAAAACATCACGTCTATTTCTTCTTAGAAACGTCGTACATAATCCAACTTAACTTTTATTCTTACCTCGAGTTCCAATAAAGCAAAACGCGAGCGCGCGTACAAAGCGTAGCGAACGGAATACAGTTCAAGGATTCGCCTTGACTGGAAAAGATTAGCACCGACACCGACAAAACTCGCGCGCGTGACGTACATCCGTTCGCGGCGCGAAGGCGCAAATCCCCCGAGCAACATTTTATTGGATCATTTCCAAGGGAAACTCAATTATGGCGGAACAATGGTTGCGAATATCGCAGGGCGGCCCCTTAATGGCATTCGAATTTGCCGCCGCGAAAGTGGATCCAAACGATCCGATTGATTGCCAATGAGAACAATATTGATATTGACGAATGTCGCCGACCTCGCGATGCCGCTCAGTTCGTGTTATGGTTGTAATTGTATATCGTTCAAGGAAAACGTGCACGAAATATTTTAGGATTAAGTAATGATCTGCCTTTGAAAATTAAAATAATAATTATTAACAAATTCAGAAGACTTCAGGTTCTATTTTACTATACTATATATTTAAGATATTTTTTGCCTAAATCAATTTCTGTTCCATTTACAGGATGGCTTTTCTAAAGGTGCCCAAATTCACACTGGAGGTTTTCAGACTCAGTGAATAATTGTTTATTGAAATAAAAATAACCTTTTTTTTTCTAAAAAAATTCCAATTCTATTCCCTAAAAACAGAACGTTTTTAAGGAATAGAATTGGATTTTTTTAAAAACAGAACTTGACAATGCGGTCTTTTGACAAGTCATTCATAAATGCGTCGTATACTTTTGAAACGAACCTGTGTGAGTGTGTGCGTGTTAGTTATGAATGATCGCGCGTAAAATAAATGAGTTGCCCATAAATCACGCCCTTTTTGAGATAAGTTCAAATTAATGTAATTAATTAATTGTGACTGTAAATATTTATAATTTTTATATAACATTATTTATGTTTAGTATTAATTATAAAAAATGGATACACTTAAAAAAGCCTCCCTGTATATATGCATAGCGTTTAATAAGCATCATTTAACAATGCATAAGCAGTAGTATTTACGAACTTGCACATCAATAAACAACGTAGGATATATTTTCTTAAAACAATGTTTAATATTCCCTGGTGACAAATTATTTTCAAATTCTTAATTTTTTTCAATAACTTTCAAAACTAAAACATAATTTAATTAAAATCATTACGTACAATAAATATATAAATGCTTTTTGGTTCTGTAGTCTCGTACCAGAAGTTAATTTCTTAATGGCAACTGTCTCGGGATGCAATTCTGCGATACCCATACTATTAACAGTTTCATTCTCTTTTCTGTCGACGTATAAGAGATTCGGAGTAACCATAAAAGGAATAAGTGTCTTTACGGTCAGTTAAAGAGGGGGACAATCGCATTAAGGTTTAATATTTTTGCTAGAGACCTTAATGGTATAACATTAAGACGGTTATACACATAACTTAGTTTTTAATAAAATTCTCTCTCGCTTGTCGTAGTGGGACTCGTTAGTGAGAGCAACTCGTTACTTTAAGCTTTTTGCTGTTAATTTTATGTTACAAGGGATGAACGAGAAAATGTGTTTCATTTGAATATAAATTATGTTTTGTTGCTTAATATTTCGAACATATATTAACAAAAGATATTAAAAGAAGAGCTTCAAAGCTATCTAATAATATGTTTTCTAAAAATCAACGTCTTAATTTAATTTCAGAATTCTTAGTGAATAAGCATATGTTTAGAGGGGGAGAGGGAATAATTCAATCTTCTAATAATATCTTTGTATTTTGCTCTCCAATAACATTCTCTAAACGGGATTTATAGGGCTTTATTTGTCTATTTACTCATAAAAGTAAAGATATATACAATAAATAAATTACTCCGGGTTCGATTCCCACACAGTACAACTATGTGTGAAATTTATGTTTGTAGAACGTCCTTAATATTATCAGAATAATATAAAGCAAGGTCAATGTTGTCAATTGTTTAAAGTTTAAAAAATATTTTTTTTAGTTTCAAGAAATAGCATAATCATGATAACAAATAAAAGAAAATATAACGAAAAACATGAAACTGAATAGGTATGTACTCAGCATGATTTGCCAATTTTCAGAATTTAAATATTAAATAATATATTAGAACTAAAATTAACACAAACGTATGCAAATAAATTACTCTTATTAGATGCATCAAAGCAATACTAGCGACATGTGATGAAATAAATGTAGTATACACTGTTGGGTTAGGTTAGCCGGCAAAACATGATAATTAAGGCATTAAATTATTAATAAAACAAATCTTTATAAACACCTTGTTTAAAATTTTGCTTATCAAATATTCCATCATTCTGTATAAATATTGGCCATTACCATTCCATATTTATGTGCAAGTTAGTTGAAGAAAATAAGATTACCACCCCATGTACCTAGAATTAATATATTTTTTCAAACAACATTACAAGTGTGGACATGCCTTTAGGACAAATACGAATCTGCAATGTGCTTTCAGTGCCACACATTTTTATGCTGTATCAGTGCAATGTATAGTCTAGTTACCATTTGTTTGGCACTTTATATAAATTGTTAGGTACTTGGCGGAAGTGTGACTGAGAGCATTATCTTCAAGGAAACATTTTGATTTGCAAGAATTTCATGTTTTAGAATACAGATAATATCATCTATATTTCTTAATGTCCGTTGAATAAGTAATATTCGTTTTTGAGCAGCATTTTTTTTCCGCCTTATTACCAGAATACATCAACCTTGCTTTGTTTGTAACACATATGTTATATCTTTTTAAATAAAACAATTTATCAATATTATAAAATAAACTATATCATGTAACAAATTGAAATCTTAATTTCATTAATTTCGTTGATTCTTTTTCACATTAGCGTGTTATTATGTTAATATGCTAATAATCATACTTAGCATTCCAACGTGAATAAAATTGTTTTACATTCGTTCCAAGCAAAAATGTTATTATAAATTATATACTTACATAACTATAGAGTGATACATAATAATAATTAAAATTTAACGAGAAAACATATTCTGATTTTGTTTGTTTTGTCAAGTTTACATACAATAGATTAAACTTTCAAAATCGCTTTAATATTTGTCACCAAACACGCTTTTTCAACGCCAATTTGGCCCTCTAGGAAGTCCTGATCTTTCTTTAAACAAAATTCCATCGACAGGTGTAAATTGAAATTATAAAACTGGTATGCGAACAAAGAATTTCAATTTATTCGCAAAAATTGCACTGCGCGCTTTGCAAAGGATTATATGGCAAAAATGATGAAGCAATAGATGACTGAAGCTTTTGCAAAAACAAATTAAAAATTTCGCGGAATTTGAAATTTTGTATTTATCGTCATTCAACTCGAAATGATATTTCCTCGGGTCTTAAAAACGATGAAATTTCCTCAGAACAAAGAAGACCGCAAAGTAGTAGAAGCTCGAAACGTTCTTTTTAGTAACTTGTGAATTAACTTTGACCGGGGTTCACGTCACGTACCGCATTTTTGTAGGCATGTCGTATATATCGTATAGGTCTTCAGGGGAGGGATTTTGGATGTTTAAAGAGGAATAGTGTTCAATTTCCCGCAAAACTGTTACCTCGTAACACTAGCTGAATGTGACCTAATTTAGCAAAGGATCACATTATACCAAGTTTTCACTTTAGGGTCTCAACTAAGTAGACAAAGACAAGACACATTACTTTAACGTGACAGGTTTGTGGCCGCAAATCGGACACAAAAGACATACGCGAACAGTCTTTGCCCGTGAGAAATCCGACAATACATTTGTGACTGTTCTAGTTAATAATTTTTTCTCTCAAATCGTTTACAGTATACCTCATTTTCAATAAAAAAAAAATTAAAAACTAACCATGATATTCATAGCCGCGACTCGAATATCGCGAGGCGCACGAGTAACTGCAAAGCTATTACTGTGCGAAGTTGTTCTAATTGCTTTCAATCAAATATTGTTACAGGTCCTGCTAGTACATGAGGCGTCAAAGGGCAGTTTTTCTCGAGTGTTCGATTTGGAGGCGGGCGACGAGACAGACCCGGGGACACCACGTACTTCGCCGTACGAGAGCCGGTTCCCGATCAACATCGGCATCACGGGCTACGTCGCCACCACCGGTGAAGTGAGTCGCCAATTTTCAACCGACTACAAAAAAGAAGCGAGGCTCTCAACTCGACTGTATTTTTTAAACGGTTTTATTTAGCTCCACCCGTACGGAATTTGTTTGTTTATTTGGGTCAAAATTAGAAATTGAAATTTAAGCACCTTTCCGTTGTCAGATTGATCTGAAATTTGGTACACACATTTAATTTAGATGACAATACAATATTGTAGTTTTCAGTGCACATAAAATAAAACCGTTTAACTTTAAAGTTTTTAAACGGTTTTTATTTATGTTTGTTACCCCAGAACTCCTGAAAATTATAAAATGAATACAGGGCGAGATATTTGAAGTCGGTTTTGTTTTTCGTTAATAAAAAAATTGATTTGTATCACATCATATCGGCTCGTGTGACGTTTAATTCATTGTTAGTTAATTAATTCCGTTATTCTGCCTGCCTCGTGCATTAATCGTACTTCCCGAGTGTGATATATGCAGGAATTAGACCGTCTTGAAGAAATTTCATCAACGTTAGCGTTAAAATGACATTCATTAGATAAAAACGTTGTTGACTTGCGTACAGTAATGTATTCATATACTTAGTTACCTAACTATAATCAGTGTAATTACATTCGTCGCTATGCTAATGTAGTTCATTTTTGAATCTAAATTTTTAAACGCCAATTAAATTTGAAAGTGTGACTCTAATTGGTGCGCAAAAGTAATCTGATCAGAGAGCTCACGCTCGAGTGAGCGGCGCGGAATACTATCCTCTTAATTGCATGTTATATTTTTAACCTGTCCGAGAACGGGGAGGTCAAAGAAAATGTTTATTTATAAAAAAGGGGTCCCCGAAATGCGGTCCGCAGTATCAACGTTAAACGGAGTACTTTGAATCAGGACCGCCGGCCGCTTTGATGTGCCCCTTGCGTTTAATTATTAAGTGAATACTTTATGTATTATCTCTATCATTACTTTACAGTACCCGGAGGACCGAGCTTTGCTCGGTTTGTTTTTTTTTTTTTGGTAAATCGTGTATTTTGGAAATTACATTTAGATACAAATAACTGAGTAATGAAATAGGCATAATATTTTTCGATCTTACCGACGTAGTAATAAGAAAATACGAACTGATGTTTTTCACAAAAGAAAGAACTTTAAAAAAAGAGAAAAAAATTACAAAATAACAAATCGACAAAAAATTAAAAATAAAGAAAGAAATGATCTGGTATCGAAAAAAAAGTTAAAAAATAAATGTGTAAATGATCGTGACGCGAACCACGGCCATCTGTTTTGGGGCCGCCCGATTACCGACCGAGCTATTATGACATTTTCTCTTGCGGCGAAATTTACCGTCATATTCGAATTATATTTTTCATTCCCTGAAAACAGGGATAAAAGGACATTTTCTAAAAATGAAACCTAGCTAGATCGATTTTTCGCCCCCGAATCTATGCACATACTAAATTTCATGAAAATCGCTGGAGCCGTTTCCGAGATTCCGATTATTATATATATATATATATATATATATATACAAGAATTGCTCGTTTAAAGGATAAGATTTATCTGGAAACTCAGCCTAAGGTTACATGCGTAATGTAACGCATAATCTAAAGTGTCGGCCCCACGTCATTGTTAGTGTGATGGAGAAATCAATCGTTGATTTAGACGCCCGGGGGGTGTAAACTTCTTGATGAAATTGTCATGCATTAGAGAAAAAATATTTTTATTACTTTTACTACTATGTTTTTTTTTTTAATGTGCAAAGCTGCCCAACGAGCAGACGGTTCACCGGATGTTAAGTGAATACCGCCGCCCATAGACATCTGCTACACCCGAAGGTTTGCAGATGCGTTGCTCCGGCTACCTCACTCACCAGACGAAACGGGAAAGTATTTGTTATACTTCCTCTTTATGTCAAGTTCAACGTGTTGACAAGCAGTTGAATAACAATGACTGTTGTAACACAAAAAAAAAATACTCTGAAGTGCCTTATGTCGTTAATGAAATATGTTATTTTAGGAGCTAAATATTGTACGTCGTTTTAACTGCTAATCTAATAGCTGGTTGCTTGTTATTTTTGTCATATTAACAACCGTAGTTTAAATGCTCATCGCCCGTTTGATTTGTAGGATTTGTTCCATTTAGCCAGTAATACTTCGTAAAATAAATTTATGAATAATTGTTTCTATTATTTTCAGTAATCTGTCATTATCGTAACAAATCCTCTGCCTTGAGTAATGACATGTCTATATTATATTTTTACTCAAAAATATGTACTATTACTGCATAGAAAATAGAATTAAAACACATATAGCGTTGAAAACGCTAAATATTATGTCTTTTGCATTTTACGTCGATATCTCTCTTGAGATAGTATCAGCTGGTACTCAGCGAGAGGCCAGAGTACACTCAAGAGCATGTTTTTATGGATGTGGCTGGGGGAAATTTTATCCATCAAGTAATTTTAAAAGCGCTTTGTTTATTTCCGACAGCGTCTAAGAATGAGATACATATGATTTCGATTTCAAAGAGTGTAGTAAAATCTACAACGGTTTCAACTAAACCATACATCTTAAGAGTATAGGGTTTACCGTAAGTTATTAAGTGCCGTATTATAATATGAAAATTTCTTTCTTTTTAGACAGTCAATATTGCTGACGCGTACCTAGATCCGAGATTCGATCCCTCGGTCGACGAGGAGGCCGGTTTCAAGCACAATACCATTCTTTGTATGGCGATCAAGAATTCAGAAGGAAGGATCATTGGCGTCATACAGGTAAGCATAGTGATATTGATTCTACGAGGTTTTGCCTGCATCTCTCAAGATGGTAGCATAGCGTAGACCGAAATTCATTGCGTATTGTTTAATTTCAACACGATTCGCACGTAAAATTTCAGTTTTATTGGACAATTCTCGAAACATTTAGATGCGTAAAACTCTTTTAAATCACTCCACCGTTATAACGCGAGATTTTGAAATTTTAAAATCCACTCTCGGAATTTTAACAGAGGTGCCCACTTCGTACTCGCTAAGCGTACAATACAGAAAGTTTGCGGAATGGAATTAATGAAAAATTCAAACTGGTGCGTGTGTAATGCTCGTAGCGCATTGCGGGGAAATACATTCGGGAGAAATGTAACTCAAGATTATCCCTCAATTTATGTTACCATTAGATAAAGTTTTATATTTAACACAAGAGTATGCATGTTCTCATTTACGCACGTAAGAAGTTATACTTTTTCAGCGTAATAAAATAAAAATAATTAAAAAAGAATCCCCCGTTTGTGAAAGAGTTATTTAATACAAATGATGACGATTTAATTAAATAACTTAAAATTATAGATAAATAACATAAACTTGTTAATGGTTGCCATGATAAAACCGTGAAGTTGGTCGCTTGGCTGTCGGTTTTCGCGGTTCATAAAAATTTTACTGTCATTTTTTTTCCAAACACGCAAAGTATAACTTCAAAACAAAACTAAGTGTACACTTATGTATGTATGTAAGTAAATTATACTTCCTTAGCGTAACAAGAGAAAAATAACTTAAAATTTGATCCCGTGTGCTTACTTACTACATTACTCTTTGTTTGTGCAAAAAGACATTGAAAGCAATTGATAACGGTTTAATTAAATAACTTGGAATTATATAAAAACGTCAAATTGTTATTTGTTGCTATGGTAACAATATGGAAGTTAGTGTCGCTTTTAGTTGTCGCGCATCGTTAAAATTCTGTGAAGTTTAACTTCAAAAACAAGCATTTTACTTATACCAGCATATGGTAAATACATCCATCATATTATATAATAATAATCAGTAAGTGTACTTTCGTGATGTGCTTATGATATTTTCCTATATCGTTCGAATTGAGTAATTAAAACAATACGTTTTATAAATGCATTTAAGAAGTTAACTCATTAATAATTACTCAATTTATTTAAACAACATTGCTAATGTATGTAAATGATGGTGTGTTTTTATCGAATTTACGTACCTACTTAATGTTATTTGTTTTGCTTCTTTCTGCGTGTAAATTAATTAAGTGTCGCGTCAGTTATCTAATAATCTATTTGACATTTAATAATATTATTGCAGACCTGTGTCACTGCTTATTGCTTAATTAACATTATTGTGTAATAAGTTATCTCAAACCCGTGCAGTGGCTAAACCTGTTTTGTGATGAACCGCAGTAAGAAATACGTCATCAGAATAGGACATTTCTAGTAGTTCGCTATTCCCAGAGATTCAACAGAAATTACTGGCTCTTGGTGTATACGATAAAAACACGTGGCCTGGGTCTTAAAATCTGACAGACTATTGTAAAAATTGTTACAGCTTTTATAGTAGAAGAATGAATAATTTAGGAATGATGCTCGTCCGCTCGATCTAGCTATTTTTATCTCTCCATCGAATGTTCAATGAATAAGGTTCGATTTTATATATTAATATAATTTAGGACCACGTAGCTCGTTTTAATCGAATCGCTAGATGGATAGGTATAACAATTGACGTTCTATTTTTGTACGATTTACATATCGGTGGAAACGGTTCAAAAGCGAATCTTGAGATTGTCGCAATGAATATTAAGTGCCGTAATATGCGGTAAATTTCCGTGGAAATTTGCGCATTGCGACGAGTCCCCTCTGCATGGGTCATTCGATGGTTGTTTATTCCGGGGTGCACAGTAAAAGTGTGGCGGCTATGCACACGGGCGTGTTTCGTACTTATCTTTTGATTTTGAGCTTCACTGTTTATATTTTAAATTTGTTGGAATAAGGGGACGAAAAGTTTGACCTGCGTCACACGCGGACGACGCTCAACGACTAGACGACGCCAAAAAATTGTTTAAAATGTAGTAAAAATAGAGATATAAATTTAGATAAAATATGTTGAGATTTTCGTCTGTCTGAAGATAAGCCGCTTAGCTCAGTGGCTAGAGAGTTCCGGAGGAAGGCGGGTTCAAATCCTCGGAGCGGCAAAAAACTTTTAAATATCGACTTTAGTTCAGAGAATAGCACTATAACAATTAAAATCATTTAAATTCTCTGTTGATTTCAATATTCCGGTTGCTCCAGAAGACTCCGTCCCAGGGAGTGCCGCATCCAAATCTGTAATTGAAACTTGCCGTGAATATCTTTGGTTCTTAAAAAGATATTTACGAGACATAATCTTGTGTGGGGGTATAAAAGTAAAGTAAAGCAACAGTCTATACATGTCCCACTGCTGGGCAAAGGCCTCCTCTATACAGAGGGTATCAGGGCATAGTCCACCACTGCGGATTGGCGGACTTCACATATTTACGAAATACATTTTTTTTGTTATTATTCCGAAAATATACAGGTTTCCTCACGATGTTTTCCTTCACCGCGGAGCACGTGATAATTCAGCACTTAAAGTTAAAAACTTCATTGGTGCCGGGACCGGGGATCGAACTCAGGTTGCTCGAGTATACATTGAATTAAGGCGAGCGCCCGGACACTGAGCTATCACGGCTCTATATTTATCACGGGCTATATCAAATGTAAATTAGAAACATTCTGTTATCAAACATGTTATTACACTTAACGCCCGGTTTCTGAAACACTGATCATCGTATAAGTCAACTAATCAGCTGTCAAATGGCTTTTCAAATGCGAACATTCTTTCATAGAAGTTTAAATACGGTAGTTTTTTTTAAATAAAACATTTATTTTAATTTTATTCCAAAAGTGAAATACTAAAAAAAACTATTTTAAATGTCTATAGCGGCAAACGTAGTTTTTTGAATTACGTATCAACAATGAAATTTGACGTAAAGTTATCCAAGTTTGGGATTCGGACACAAAACACCTTTATTTCTCTTGTTGATTTTTTTTCTTATTTTTTCAATTTAGCTGTACGTACATAAACGTCGGTCATCAATGAGTTTACCGTTTCATATGAAAAGAAATGAACTTTTAATCAAACGGCTTCATTCTTTTTATAAAAAAATTAATATATATTTAAGGATTCATTTTATCATTAGTGCTAGTTCCTGCACTAAACAAGAAGCATAAAATGTGATTAGTTGTGGATAAAACAAAAACTTTCGGCGCTGCGTGATTCGCACCGGCATCTTCCGAGATTAAGGCGAGCGCCCGGACAATGAGCTATCACGGCTCCGGCGGCCTCACGGCGTGAAAATATCTGATATGCATCCACTTTTTTCTTGCATCTTTTATTTTAAAAATGATAATTATACCTCTACCAACGGATTTTCGTAAGGCAATGTAGATGTGCTATCAATATTAAAGTGACGCCTGACTAGTCAATGCCTCGGGCGCTCCTTCCAGTTGAACGAATTCCAAGCGCTACTTGATTTTTATTGGTTTTCTATATTTCCAACGAACGTCTTTATTAAGACGAGTAAGGAAAACTAGGTAGAATAAATGTTACCAGTTCGTTGCTATTGTTTTTTAAATGTAAAATTTTTGTTCAATTTTTTTGCAATAAATTTTTCGGTAGCTTTTTTTTTACTTTATATAAAAAATCATTTATCCAATTCACGTTTAAACGCTAGAGCTCGTCTCGCCCACCGCTTTTCCGCGCAATACTGCGGGCTCGATCCACTTGGGAAAACATTGTAAACATTGTGCCACGGTACAGTAACGTAGGTGCCACGTCCGCTCGTTTCCAGCTCGTGAACAAGTTCGACGGGCTGCTGTTCACGAAAAACGACGAGAACTTCGTGGAGGCGTTCGCAATCTTCTGCGGTATGGGGATCCACAACACGCACATGTACGAGAAGGCGATTACGGCCATGGCGAAACAGAGCGTGACGCTCGACGTGAGTGGAAAGAATAAAAATATAAATCGATTTGTTCATCAAATTATTTACATTATTTTTTTTTTAAATCTACCACCGATTCGTAATGAGGTTCCTCTAACTGAGAAGAAACAGGCGAAAGAAACTCCGTTGAAAGTGAAAAAAAAAAAAGAAGATACCTTTTTTGTAATCTTTTTTTCTTACTTCTTTTTTTTTTAAATAGCTTGGGAGCGATCAATTCATTTCCGGGGGCATTGTCAATGATGAATTCATTTATTACTAGCAACGCTTTACTCAACTCCTCTGGTGTTGCGATAACCATAATTGGTGGCGGTGATCTACAATCAATGCTATTCTTCAATGATTTTCGATGTATCAAAAGTATTATAATTCTAGAAGATTTTTCCTTGATATAAATAAAAAAATTATGCTATTTATGCCTTCAGGTCTTAAGTTACCACGCATCCGCGTCCCTCGACGACGCACACAGATTACGGGTAAGTCTTGAAACTTTATCCTGTAGTAGATCTTAACACTAGACTAAATCATCTTGTAATTACTAAATCATTCTAGACTTTATCATATAAGGAATAGTTTGATTTTAGTGTTTCTTTTGTCTTTGTTATGTCGCTATTTTTAAGTCACATGTGGCTAGATTGTTCTTTTTATTGTTTCATAGCTCGGAAATAATACCTTTACCTAATGTTGGATTCGATTATATTTGTCTTAGTCATTTGAAACAATCATAACACAACAGATTTGTAGCAGTTAATGATATACATATCCGATAACTCGTGTAAGAAATGAAATTTGTTCGAATATGCATGCCTTTTATTCAATTAAATTTGAAAGGTTGAGTGGTTCATTTTACAGAAGATGCAGAAGGGTATTATTACCCTGGCATCTGTTCATATCTGATGCTTTTTAAAATATTCGCTGCAACAATGTAAAGAAAAAACTATTGGCAGCGTTGGTTAGCTATCGTCGCAAGCGATACCGCAATCAACGAAACAATTAGTTCGCTAGACTGTAATGGCTCACTTGACTTGCGATCTAAATATTTAGCGCAATAATTGGGCCAACTATTGCGCAGTCTTCGCCGGAGGTCGTTTGTAAGCCGGGCTCCGCGTATAGCGTCTGATATGTACAACGGTTTTATTATTAATGTTTATCTTGTCAAATGGCGTACGAAGTCTATTCGTGTACTGTTATTTTTATATAATTGCTTTCAACTATACTAATATATAATATACCGAACTTGAAATTAATGCACGTAACAAACGTGCATAAAATTCAAGTTTGGTATGTTGAAATCTGGTCAATGTTCAATTCATAGGAACACGTAATTCTTATTTTTATTATATAGAGGCATTCCCCTAGGGCCTTAATTATTCGCTTCAAGTTCGGGATTCAAACCTGTAAATACCAATGCTAGCAAAAGTAATGGGACGAGTTAAGTTTCCAGCGATGTCTTAGTGCAGTGTTATGATATAAAAAAATCTATAACATCGAACGTTCCTCGCGTCCAGACGCTGCGGATACCCTCCTCGGTCCACTACAAGTTGCACCAGCTCGATTTCGACGACATCGACCTGTCGGACGACGACACCCTCAAGGCGTGCCTGCGCATGTTCCTCGACCTCGACTTCGTGGAGCGTTTCCACATCGACTACGGCGTGCTGTGCCGATGGCTGCTCAGCGTGAAGAAGAACTACCGTAACGTCACCTACCACAACTGGCGGCACGCGTTCAACGTCGCACAAATGATGTTCGCCATTCTCACTGTGAGTGGATTCCCGCAATAGAAAATAGTTTAACCGTTGCGGTGCGCCAGTGTCCGGGCGCTCGCTTTCGATTCAACGTACTCGAGCAACCCGAGTTCGAATCACGTTCGGCAATTTTTTAAGTGCTGACTTATCATGTGTTTGGCGGTGAGAGCAAACATCGTGAGTGTAGTGATCCCAAGTTAACAAAAGGAACTATAAGTATCTGTGTTTCACTGGCTCACTACTACACACAGTTCCGAGCGTAGGCGCACGTCTTTACCGTACCGCGTCTAATGCTAGACTGACAGACTGTCGCTACCCCCTCTACTGGTGTACATGAGACAATGTATTATATCTTTTAAATAGATACAAACACTACAGTAAGGAAACCTGCACAAAATATAGAAATGATGAAGTCCGCAGTGGGGTCGCGTGGTGGACTATGCTCTAATACCATCTGTACAGGCGAGTTCATTTGCCCAGCTGTGGGACCTGTATAGGCTGTTAATTAACCTACTTGAACTTTTATTGACCGCCCAAAGGTTGACATAATTTGTGGGCATAAAGAATAATTAAATAAATAATAGACACTCAATGTCTTTCCCTTTTTTATGTATAACTTTTTATTTCCTCTAGTAACGGGAAATACAAAGTTAGGCATATTTTGAGATCAAGAATTTTTATTCGGTATTTAAAACGGGACAAAAAAGTTAGGCAAATTTTCAAATCGGGTAGAACCTACTTTGAATAAAATTTCTTTCGTTTCGTTTATTGCACATATTAAATAAGAACCATTCTGATATACGTTGAAAAAAGGATACTATGTTTCAGGAAACGCAGTGGTGGAAGATATTTGGCGAACTCGAGTGTCTGGCTTTGATCATCGGTTGCTTATGCCACGACCTTGACCATCGGGGGACTAACAACTCGTTTCAAATAAAGTAAGTTTTGATCATTTTAAACGCGTTTGATTCTCGTTGTTAAAACAACCTCTGTATATCAACACTTTTATATGTTAACATTTATTTTATAAGAAACCGTGAAAATATAACAATCAACATCTTATGTCTTAAAAATATAAAACACTGGATAGCTAATAACAGACGCATCTTTAAATTGAGACACGAATGGTTAAATACCGATAAGTATTACTAATGTTTTAATTAAAACATCGGAAATTGTTTTATGCAAAAGTACTTGGGATTGATCACAGTTTTATCAGATATTAATAATAATTTGGTATGGTGTTTAGTTAATATTTTGGTATTGTGTCCGTCATTATTGTGTGCATCTAATTAACAGATTATGTTAATTAGATGCACTTTTCTACAGACAGCTCTTAGCCGCAACTCCATGGCTCATTTGCCAAGGTATTTGGCTTCGGTGGCGGTTCGATTCCCACACGAGACAACTGTTTGTTTGACTCACATATAATTGTTTCGGATCTAGATGTTAGTCCACGTAAAATTTATGTATTTAAAACGGCCTTAAAACACTGGGTCATGTTATCTTACAGTAGGAGCGCAATGTTTTCGAAGGGAAGTCTACAATAGATCTTTCTAGATCGCAGATGTCGTTAGAACTTACTACTCTACCCCTTAAATAAAAAAGGCGTATGTCGATCGAATCAATATACCCAACATGATATTGTAAAAAAGTGCAAAACTAACCAGCATAAAAAATATTAAATTTACCAAAGGTAGGTGAAAATTAATTACTGGTTAATGATGGTTTTTTATTACTACTATCAACAATTATCGAAACTTTCAATTAACCACTTTAAACGTAGAACTTTATTCTAATTCCCCGCGTTTCCATTTTTCACTCTGCGGTAGGGTCACGCAACAGTTTGCTGTTGCACGAATGGGCAAGTCCGTCCGGGGTAATACCACGATCTCAGAAGACCATCGTCAAGCGGAAGTGTTACACTTCTCCATTTCGTCTGGTGAGTGAGGTAGCCTTTATTAAAAGGTGGCAACGCATCTGCAATCCCCCGAATGGGCGGCGGTTGTCACTTAACGTGAGGTGAACCGCCAGCTCTCTTGCCTCCATCTCACAGGAAAAATAATACATCCTCTTGTTTGATAATAAGTCTAACAGAGTTTCTAATGTAATTCGTCGAATTGATTCGATGAGTGGAATGATTGAGTGGATGCAAATGGCAAAGTGTTCTAAGAGGGACGTCTATGTTCAACAGTGGACGTCTTGCGGCTGATGATGATGATGAATTGATTCGCTTCATTCCTCACTTTCAGAGCGTCGTCACCACTCGCCCAGTTGTACTCCACGTCCACGATGGAGCACCATCACTTCGACCAGTGCCTGATGATCCTGAACTCGCCCGGCAACCAGATCCTCGCGAACCTGTCATCGGACGACTACGAGCGCGTGGTCAAAGTGCTAGAAGACGCAATACTGTCGACGGACTTGGCCGTTTATTTTAGGTAAGAAACATAATTGTACAAGTTCCGTCACTTGCATGCCCAAGGGAATTCGGGACGCGAAGTAGGTATGCTCCTTCCCGTTCTGTCCCTAACGAGTGAAAGAGATAGGACTCAAGCGTCTATTACGACCCTGCCGTTCACGCGCCGTTGAGCAAGAACGGGAGATGAGACAACATTGTCTTCCTACTCACCACTATTATTGAGTTCATAGAACTGTCTGTCGCGCCGACAGCAAGCGCACGGCGTTCATCGAGCTGGTAAGCGACACAGACCTCCCGCTCGTGCGACAAAGCTACAAAGCGACCAGTAGATACAACCGTCCCGTTTTCGCGTGGCGTCCGGTACTCGGGTTTAACGACCCCCTGTCGCACCGGCAGCAAGCGCACGGCGTTCATCGAGCTGGTGGGCGCGGAGAGGTGCGTCAGCGCGTGGGGCGGGTGCACGGAGCGGCGCGGGCTGTTGCGCGCTATGCTGATGACCGCTTGCGACCTCGCCGCCATAACGAAGCCGTGGCCCGTGGAGCGACGGGTGGCGGCGCTAGTCGCCGGCGAGTTCTTCCGCCAGGGCGACCTCGAGCGCCACAACCTCAACCTCACGCCGATCGTAAGTGACGACTGCCTTTGCTGTTATGTGCCCCTGGTACTTCACACTAATCGTGAGTAGTTCCGATTTAGTTCTACTGGTAGTGTGATCCTTGTCTATTTCATCGATCGTTAGTACCGACGCTTTAGGTGTTATGAGTTCCTAGTATTGTGAGATAATAAAGTCTCTATTATAATGTCATCGTGCGTTGTGGGTCATTATTACTTCTAGCGTTTTGTAATCTTTAATAAAATTGTTCCTGATATTTTAATCTTAGAAAACAAAGTGATCGTGAGTTTAAAATAAGTTTACCCGGTAGTTTTAAATCACGTCAATTATTAGAAACCAAGAGCCCGCAGTACGTTCTTGGTTCTATTTCTCACCGATCGTGTGAGATAAGTAACCATCACACCTAACAGGGGTTACATAAGGATTTGGACCAGAGTTTGCTCCTGAGTTAATAAAGCCTCCTCTTTTTTTGCAATCATTTATGTTGGAATCGGTGATGCCGTGGCTCGTGGGTTCAATCCCATACGGTATCTAGATATTTGTCCAAGTTGTTGTTATACTCCATTGTTAGTAACAAAGCGCCGCCAAAGTTGTCATACGATCCTAATTCTTCCTTCGCCACCGCTGGATTAGCGAAGATGGTATCTGTGCGGTTATAAGCTCCTGGTACTTTCTACGTAGTTTTAAAAACATCCTTTTTAGTTGTCATACGATTCTAGTAGCCAATCGTGACAAGAGAAAGCTTTTTGCCTTAGTTATGTTATTTCTATCTCAACCATAGTAAGAAACTTTAAAAACGGGTTTTCATGTGCAAACGCGAAAAGCAAAACTGATAAGTTCACATGTGCTCCTGGTACGTGCGCCTCGTTATTGTTACCTATTGTCACTTTATGAGCGTTCTTTTTCCTTTTGACCTCCAAATTTAATTTCTATATAATAAATATGGCGATTTAAAATATAGAAAATAGTTTCTATGAAGTAGTAAGTATTGTGTTTTGGTTAACAAGTGAAAAGAGGTGTGTACACAATATTCGAGTTAATATCAAAAGTTAAGTATTTCAAAACTTGTCAGTGTTCTCGGGCTTTCTGGTTACGATTTCCATCTTTTTAATTAACGTCTGATTGATAAAATTTCGAATAATTTTTTATCAATTTTTTCAGTCACAAAAATTTTGTTTTTTTTATTTCCTCAAATTGTTCCATACTTGTTTCAGGACATAATGAACAGGGATAAGGAGGACGAGCTCCCGGCAATGCAGGTCAAGTTCATTGACACCATCTGTCTGCCAATTTACGAGGTAAGTAATAGTTCTTAACACTTGTAATATTATGAAAAAGTATGTGATCTAAATTTGGAGAAAACTCAGAAATTGTGACACTGAACATCGTCAGTCAGAGCTTTGATAGCGATCAAAGAGCGCAGCAATGAAGTTAGTAGGCGAACTATGTAAAACTTTGTTAGGAAGATTTACACTCGCCGATGTGTCGGCAGGCATGCGTATACTTCATATATGCAAAAAGGCTTTGCACACTCATACGCAACAGTTACAGTAGTAACGTTTCGCGCATGGGTTATAGTAAAGTTATAATTTTTTCCAGTTAAAGGAAATAAAATTAACACAGTCTTTTCAAAGGTTTGGGATGACTCCGTAGCGCAGTTACCAAGGTATTGGCTTCGGCGTTGGGGGTCGTGGGTTCGATCCCCACACAGGACAACTATTTTTGTGACCCACGGACAGTTGTTCCGCATCTGGGTGTTTGTCCACGTGAAATTTATGTTCGTAAACGTTACGTTCTTACAGCACAGGATAATGATATCCTAAAGTAAATGTATAAGTAATATCCGTTTTTGAAATAAAAAAGTGTGTGTAATTATAAATTCGTGTGTAATTATAAATAATTGTGTGTAATTATAAATAATTAATTATAACTTCGTGTACTTAAGTACACGAAGTTATAATTCTTTGGCGTAATAAGATAAAAATCTTTTCAAAAATATTATCTTTAGCCTAATTCTACGTTTGTGTGGGAAAAACGACACTAACAATAGAAAAAGGTATATAATACATTGAAAGTTTTATTATAACGCATTATCTAGTTAAATAAAGTTTATTTAAATATCACAAAATAAATATCGTGAATACAGTTCAGTCAGTTCTCATACGTAGATGTCCAGCTAACTTCAGGGTGTCGGTTTTTCGTGACGGTGTGCGCGCGCATCGCAAAAAATGTACCCTCATAATATTTCCCTAACGCGCCAAAAGACGTATTACTTCGAAAATTTTAAAAAAATTGTCTCCTCGACGTCTTCTAAGTGACCTGATAAGATTAATCTAATATATAAAATTCTCGTGTCACGGTGTTTGTAATTGAACTCCTCCGAAACGGCTCGTCCGATTTTCGGCTCTAATTTTGTGTACATATCGGCCAGGGTGGAGTGGAGAATCGGACAACATCTATTTTTCATCCCCCTCAATGTTAAGGGTGGTCCACCCCAAACATTTTTTTCTACCCTACAAATAATTTGTATGGCAAAACAACGTTTGCCGGGTCAGCTAGTAACATATGAAAACTTCTTTTCCGCGCAGGCGTTCGCCGTGCTCTCGTCCGCCCTGCAGCCGATGCTGGACCGCGTGAAGAGCAACCGGGCGCACTGGATCGAGCTGGCGAACGGCGACGGCGACGGAGGGGCGGCGGGGGGCGCGGAGGCGGCGGCGGCGGCGGGGGCGGGGGGCGCCCCGCACGACAGGACCGACAAGGGCAGCGTCGGCTCGCAGAACGCCGACGACACGGAGCCGACGTGCGACGGGGACAGCAGCGGCGCGGTGAGCCTCTCGTCGGAGACCAACTCCAAGTACGACAACCTGGAGAACCCGGTCGTGGGCCTGGTGTGCACCAACGCGCTCACCATGCCCCGCGAGCCGAACAAGTTCTGCCAACTGAACGACCTCAACTAGCCAGCCGCCGGGAGCTGACGTCACCACGGGAGCGTGCATCACCGCGGGTGGGCCAGACGCTCGTAGTGTATGGGCATAGTTCGCTGTATGTTCGTCACGTTTGAAGCGCTCGACGGACCCATTTGGGAATTTGTATCCGACCCCACCACGAAGTACGTCGTGTGTTTATACGTTGACTTTGATACAACCGCAAATGGGAATGTCAAATCGTCTGGGATATTTTGTACTTGGTTATTTCACGCTTCCTCGTTGTGCGACTTGTGCTTCGAATTCCCGATGGACCGTGTGAAATGTTTAATGCGAAACGGTTACGTTTCACTGTAAATAAAACGTGGTGTGTTGCGGCCGGATCCTTGAAATGGAACGGGATTGGCTATCGAATGACGTACGAGGTACGTGATTGTACGAGGTAGTCGACGTCGCATCGTCTTTCATTAATAGTTGCTTAAGCAGTGTTCCTATTAGTCGGTGTGGAGCGGTGGTGAAAAGCGGCAGCCGATGCAGGTTGTGTGATGTCCGCTCACAGTTCAAATGAATTGGTGGAATTTGAAATTCCAACCCGCACGCATGGACAATCGTCGACGTATCCATCGTACATGAACTCTTCGCGTAGCTTTACTTTATTATCACAGAGTGAACTTGTATATGTAAATTTGTTTTACCTCATTCGTCTATTCCCGCTACATGTGTTACATGAAGGTTTTTTCGTGTGTGTAGTTTTTTTTTTTATGTTTCGTTTTCGCGTATCGTTCGCGATACGTGCGCGTTAGAACGCACGCTGTGCGGTCTCGTTCGCGAACGCTCATCCGTCGTGATATAATACATCAGGGCCTAACTGTCGCGACGCTTAGCGAATAGATGACCAAAATACCAAAAATTCTTATGTAGTTAGGTATCGTGCTAAATTATTGATTTCTTGATTCCATGTCTTAATGAGATACTAACACAAGCTTTGAGTATTGTGATGATAGAAATTGCATTAAGCATCTTTATTTTTAATCTTAGCTCTTAAGTAGATCTGTTTTCATTTCGCAAGTCGTTCGGGCTTGCGCGGGCGTTTTGTGTCATTGTACCCGAATATAATCGAAGCCGTTGTATTTGGTATAAACTAGGATTCAGAGTTGTTTGTATCGCCGGTCGTTGTTCACTTGAAAAGTGAGTGATTTGTAAACGGTGAATTTATGGTATAATTGTAAATTTTCTACTAATGTTATTTAAAATGTCCCAAGTCCAATTTAAAATGTGGATTTTCTTTTAATTAATTTTAGTTATTGCAAAGTTTTAGAAAGCGGAGTTCTCTCAATTATATCGGGTATGTGTTCGCCGCTTTCTCGAACTGTCATGTCCATAACTTAAATCCTTTGCAACTCAACTGAGCATGGACAATAAATGACATCATTTCAATTGTACCTGTAAATAAGCGAGATTTAATACATTATTAATCATTGGTAATTACGTACTTATTTTAAATTGTCCTTGTGAGCATTCATTTCAATCAGCTGCCAGGAACTGTTGCCTCGCGAGATATATACATACATATAGATACATACATATACACACTAAATAATAATCTATAAACAGACTTCACAGCCAGAAAGATAGTTGTGGTAACCGCTTTATTCATTCCAGTTACTGATAGTACCGAAATGTCATTTTCTTTGTTCGTCTCGTCAAATATGTGTGAAAAATGTCAATTACGATTAAAAAAAAACATTAATTGAGACACAACTGTAGTGGGTAATTAACCAAACGAACATTAGTTTTCTCGGTCCAAAATATTACAATATTATCGTTAAAAACTATACTTACCATTGCTAAAATGAAATTGCTTAAATTTTTACAATCGTAATTTTCCTCAATGTATCTCAGAGTTATGAAAGATTTCGAATTTCGAACGTTTTTTCTTCCTTAAAATATGACCAATTGTTCCATAACAAAGAATATAGTTAAAAATATTTTCTAATTGGAGTAATTCTCTCTATAAGCTTTAGATATTTACAATAAAAAAATCTCAAATTAATTGTGGTAATAAAAATATGTACAACGTTTAATTTTAAGATTGCTGTAAGTATTATTAGAAAGTAATTAGAGAAATAATAATTGTAATTCACTAAATGACGAGTTGGATGGTGTGTGAATAATATGGAGGTTGTTTTGTTCCAAACAAAAATGTTATTTATTTATGATTAAACAAATTTTGAAGAAATTCAAGCGTTTTATTTTTTATATTATTTCTGTACGTCTTTAGAAGCAAATATTTATATGATTTGCGACCCTTGCCTGTTTTTTTTTAAGTGAAAAGGTGGCAAAAGAGCTGGCGGTTCACCTACTGTTAAGTGCGCCGCCCATTGACATGTGCAACACCCGTACGGTTGCATTTTCACCTATTAATAAAGAAGGCCCCGGGTACCTCACTAACCAGACGAAACGCAGAAGTATAACCACTTCACGCCGGTCAGTGTGAGGTCGTGGTACTTACCCGGACGGACCTGCCCATTTGTGCAACAGCGAAGGCTGTTGCAACTTTGTTTTACCTCGAAAAATTATGTTAATTATAATGAGGTTCCATAGACGCTCTTGTAATATCTCTAAACACATTTTAAGTGCTTGAAGATGAAACATTTCCGCACCAGTTGGTGATCACCAAATTCAAGTTTTGAATATTTAGTAAAGAAGGTAAAGCACCTGTTTATTTTAAATTCCAGAACCTTGTTTTGTATCTGTCAATAATATAAGCTGTATCTGTTTTTAGAAGTTCAGTGCTAAGAACTGACGATAATTGGAGATTTATTTCAAGGTCGTTGCTGCTTTCAAAGATTTTTTTAGAATCTTAAAACTATCTATAAATAAACTTAAAACTATATAAAAAAATAGAACCAAGACAGAAGACATTACCAGTTATGAAAATAAACAAAATAATTTTAAAATTATGTTGATCACTGCATGGTCTCTGATAATCTTTTTAAGAACTGAAATTTTGTAACGTGATATTTGATGTCAAAAAGAATTCATATTTGGTTAAAGCAGGTAAAAATTAGTAAAAGCTTTCAACCGCCCCTCTAATTGTCAAGTGTTTGTCCCTGACACTCTTTTTGTTTTGATTTTGTAATCATTTTCATTTTAAAATATCAAAAAAGCTTTATAGCACGTCATTTGTATGGCTTTCCATGTGCGAGAATCTTACTATGCTCTTTTACACTTGCCAGTCGGCCATAAAAATGACACACGAAAACTGGCGATATTTATATGCATCATTGCCAAAAAATCCAATAATTATGAGCAGCGCTTATAGCTTTTGATTTCACAATTATTCGTCGTAGGGTGATATGTATGACGTACACACGTCATATCACGACATATTATCAAGACTTTAGGGTTGGCAGCTACACTCTTGGGTACATTATGAGTGGCGCTAGCTTCGGAACGTCAGGTGAACCATCTCCTTTGCCAACTTCTCCCATAAACAGGTATGTATTAATGTTTTTATTATATTTTTTACATTCTAAGGCATGCAATATTGTCATACACGATGATATATCATCTTACCGCTAGGTAGAAAAAGTAAGTAAAAAAATCGTCCACTATTTTCATAGGGCCACGCAAGCAACCGAATGGGCAGGATAATCCTGGAGGGACTACGGCCTTAAGGACCGGCAGGGTGTGGACGGAATTCATAATTCTGCGTTTCGTCTGGTCCATCGGTGGTGGTTGTTACTTAACATCAGGTGAACGATCAGCTACACACCCCTAAAATATGCTGTATCTCGAATTATTTATCCTTTGTAACTCGAAAAAAAAAATGTTATAGAGTGATTGATAATAATACATATTTATAGTATGTAACGAAACGGTTATTCGATAGGGCCGAACATCATCCCAACCCTCTGGTGGTAAGCGCAGCAAATTACCAACCCAACACAAACGCGAACGTCAACAAGCGTCGCCCGCGAAACGTCCTCATTGATCCGGTCGAGGAAGGGGACTTAGATACGTTGGACCCACCGCCGGGGGTCCCGCCGGATAACACTACCCCCACAGCTAATGTAACAACAAACACAATAGTTCGCCCTCGCCTCCGAGCACGGCGAAAACAACACAAGGTACACCCGCGTTCCAGGGCGGTTTTCACCGCCCCACAGCCACCGATTAGCTAAAAACATAGTCGATGGCCATTCGGGTCTCGGTCCGCACTGCTACCTAGATGGCCCTTAGATGACATGCCGTAGTTAAACGCACGCATGAGCACATGCGCATGTTTGGGCCCTACCCACAGCGGAGGGCCTAAACCCGTGGGTTCTGGCTAGCCCACCGGTTCTGCGTCAGATGAAGCTAAGAAGACTATTAAAGTCTCGGGACTGAAAGCACAAACATCAGTTAATACAAGATACAAAACATATTTATACTCTATAACTCGACTCAAAAGGCAGACTGAAAGTCGAAGTTAGCAAAAGGAATGTTGGGTGCTTGTAATCTATTGTTATTATCTATTGCACGTGCAATGAATGAATACATTCATTAGACTTTCTAAGTAACGCAGCTGTGTACTCTAAGTTTGTTTATGTTTGGTCTTTGCTTAAAAAGTTCATTAACGATCATTACTTATGTCGCTGTTAACTAGCAACAACATTAGTGCTAAACGGAAACTGTACGTGAAAAATTAGACGTTATGCGGTAAAAAGAGGCGTGAAGAAAAGGAGGTGGCAGCTCAATACGGATTGTCAGCAAGCATCGTGCGTACAGTAATTGAGATTAAAGCTGAAATATTGCTAAGATATGAATCAAGTAACAACTTTTCTTGCAAAAGACACCGACAAGCCAAGTCTCTGATTTAGAGTGATGCTTACTGATCTGGTTCAAACAATGTCGTGACATAAAACAAGTGTATCTAGGTCACAAAATCACTGGGATGCATTAATTTTCGAGTGGCGAAAGAGAAATGTTTGAAAATTCTAAAAATTTAATTTAAAAAATTAATTCTAAATTCTAAAAATTCCTTAAATCAAAGGAAGATAAGTAATAGATTTTTTGTAGCTATTTATAAAACATACTTTACTAATTATGAGTTTCAATAAATTGGTGTAAATTTTGACTCTACAACTTTTTATTACTTAGAAATTGCACCATTCTAAGTTGAAATTTTAGCAATTAAATTCTTGGTATCTCGAAATTCTTGTAAAGTCAAAAACTCATCAACTCGAAATTTTTACTGAATCATCTATACTCAATAAAAAATAAATCGATATGGGATCACTAAGATAATAACGAGTAAGCTTGTAGCTGGAACAATGTCCTCCCATTCTTTTATTACATATACGCATACTATATTTTATAACAAGAAGGAGTAAATTTAATTTTTAAATGAACTTAAGTAACGAACCTAATAAGTTCCTTGTCGTAACAGAAGAAAAATAACTAAAAAAATTATCCCCTTTGAAAGTACGCTTTGTTTGTGAAAAAAAGAGAAATTAAAATGGTTATAACTTGTAGTTATAAGTAAATGTCATCATTTTCGAGGGTCGGTGTGCGCGCGCATCTTAAAAATGTTTTCTTCATAACTTTTTCTAAACGCGCCAAAAGAAGTACAACTTCAGTAAATAACTATGAATAATCCAAAGTTGTCTACAGTATCGAGTGAAGTAATAGCGTAGTATAGTTATTCGTTCGATACGAAAATAGTATCAATAGTGCCAATTCTATAAAGTTTATTAATACCGGTTAATTAGTAGAGTATTACATCTTATTATATCGATATAACATAACTTAGCATTACATAAATGCCGAATGTTGAATAATGACGTATTAGCTCGCTTTATATCATTATTGTATTGTTTTTCACCCACCATTAACGTAAAATGTTGTAATGTCAGATTTTAAGTTTTCTACTAACTAAATGAACTATCAATGAAACTAGAGATTTAGGTCACAGCACTAAATCCGTTTCTATCTGTCATTTTGAATGCAATCTTTATGTAGGAATCTCTTGCAGACGTAGTATCATAACCAATCTAATAGAAATGGTAATCCCATTCCTATCAGAGAGAATCTTGGTGTTCATTGTGTTCAGTGTACCATAAAATTACCAAAGTATAATTATGTATTGTATCCCCACGGACGCTGTAATTGGGTTTGTGGTAATTTTTTTTTCATTCGCAGTAACAGCACTTTTTTAACTTTCCGTGTCCATGTGTATACATAAATGACATTTAATTATAATATACCAGTATTTCAAGTCTCGCGGAACGCGTCAACCGCGACATTTAAGTGAGTGTGTACCTTTACATTCTATAATTGTCAATTTCGCCTGAAAAATAATTAATGTGACATTTCACAACGTCAGATTCAAAAATAATAACACCACCGCTTTTTCGGTGTATTAGTCGACTTTCCCTTTTTACACACAAGATCACCTTCTAACCCTCAAAATGCCGCTTCTGGATATAACCAATCCGGCGGTGATAATATTCCTCATCGAGAACTATGAAAAGGAGAACAGGCTGCGGTTGAATTGGATACACAAGCACCGAGAGCAGATACAGCAGGCGGCGACCCTGAACAGGGAGCCCACCAACTACTTCGAAGCCGACGTCATCGCTCAGAACATGATCGGTGGGCTCGCGACCACGAAGAGGGATCACGTAGTAGCTGGATACAACAGACGGCGGACGCCTTTACGCGACGGTAGGTTCATACCGGGCGTCGAAAATCTACGTCGCGGGCATTCGATAGCGGACGTCGGCTTAGGCGACCCGTTGTGCGACCCACGACTCAAAAGGCCCGACGGCGACCTCTCGATAGACCCGATAATGCGTCCCGTCGACGAGCGGGTGAAGCGGATCGTGTACAAGCGGCGGCCGGAGTTTGGAAAGGATCAGTACCTGAAGACGCGCTCGAAGACCTGGCCGGAGGAGAAGTACTATTTCGCCGAGTGCTCGAACTGGGACTACGGCTGGCGAATGAGGGACAGCGCCCTACATCAGAAGCCCTCGTATGGCAGATGCTGGCATCTGACCCGCGAGCTGCGCTCTCGCGTGGGGCCGCAACCCGATCCGCCCCATTACAAGTCGTCGGAGCATTGCGGTCCCTCGAAATTCGTCAGCTTGTAAAACAGTTGCCTGAGTTCTTTTTACAGTTTCTCCATCGCGCGGATTGCAAAATGATAAATTGTTCAATGCGATGAAAACAAAAGTAGACTTTCGACTCACTCGTGTCCTGTTTAATTTAGAATATCAATAGCTTTTTGGCAAGCTTCTTGTACTACCTGTACAACAACCAATCAGGTTGTTGTATCGGTTTAGAAAAAAGAAACCTTTAAGGTAAGTGAATACCGCCGTACCCATACCCATGGACATCTGCTACACCCAAGGGTTACAGATACGTTGACAACCTTTTGAAAATTGAGCTCCGGCTACCTCACTCACCAGACGAAACGCGAAAGTATTTGTCATACTTCCATTTTACGTACTGGTACTGGTATTTTACGTATTTGGTACTTACCCGGACGTTCCTGCCAATTCGTGCAACAGCCGAGGCTGCTGCGTGGCCCTACCACCATAAAATTTTATTTATTTTATGTCGAAATATTTCGTCTGTTCTGCACATTTGACTAAAACATTTTAAGACTCGCGAATATATTTATGATAACGATGCTAATGAAAAAAAATCACGATTCCCGCTTTATTTTCCCTATCAATAACAATGCGCATGTCAGCCTCGAGTAGCTCTTTCTTTTTTCCGCCCCCTAACAATGAAAGGGACAAATGATAACCTTAAAAGCACTTACGCACGCGCGGAACCGCTTTATGAGTAGAATTTACGCATTTTACATGAATACCATAGTTGGTAGTGAACTACACACTGTAGCCGTAATGCGGTAGACATAAATCAATTTTATAATTTGTATATACTTTAATTTATATTAGCATAATAAAAACTATGTGGACTAAATGAAAGAAATCGGCATTTTTGTATACTGTCCGACGCGGTGCGGTTTGGATTGAATTGTTAAAGTGCAATAATTAAGTAATATCAAAAAAGTCATCGAGAAACGACGAAAATACTTATTAACGAGACATCATTACTATCAGTAAGTATGCCTTTTAATTTAATGATCAATGGCCACTAAAATGATAGACAATGTTCACGGATAAGACACTCCCACGAACAAACTACCGCTGTTTTATATAAAAGTTAATATCTATCTTTAAATATTTTATACATGTACCCATCAAATTACTCACAGTTTGTCATAACCCCACTCCCATATTAAAGCAGGTGGCGCACCTTGCTAGTTCGCCCCTGTGAAAGGATAGCGCGGTAGTAATTATCTTTTATAGGTTTCGGTAAATTTTAAATATTGGTCAACATTAATACGATATCGTCAATACATAAACCTTTTTTTTATTTATAAATCCAGACAAAAGAAAAATATATAAATCCAGATGAAAATAACAATAATATATAATAAAATAGTTATTTATCTAAACCGTGCTCAGTATATTATTTTTTCATATAACGTTACATAGAAAATCTTTTTCATTTCATTCATTGGATTACTTTCGTTGTTTTGAATAAGACAAAAAACAAATCTGACCAAGTATCTTATCAAATAAAGAAGAGATATTTATAAAATGCTCCTCAGTATGACTGACAAGCGAGCCCATTGTATTAACGCTGAATTAACGCTTCGATACACACATTTCTCATACAACATAGGTTTCCTTAAACTTACTTGCTGAAGCCTTGTCAATATCAATTTGGAGATAGTCATTAAAGTATTTGAATAGTATGCCTAAGAGATAAAAATGTTGGTTGACAAGATAACTTTTCTTGCTAATACATAGAAGGCAGTAAAAGAATAGACTAAAACGCTGCTTTTATTACTGCCTCTATATGCGATAAGAACGTAATTTGTTAATTACATTACAGCCGGATTTCCGACCATATACGAATTTTTTTTTTTATTTTTTTTTTTACATTGCCCTTACTTTAGGATAACATTATCCTGTGTTGTAGGGATGTTTTTACAAACATAAATATCACGCGGACAAACACCCAGATGCGAAACAACTACCTGTGTGGGTCACACAAATAGTTGTCCCGTGTGGGAATCGAACCCACGACCCCCGACGTCGAAGCCAATACCTTGGCAACTGTGCCACGGGATCATCAAATGACACAACATTCTACGCATCTTATATTAATAAGAGTCCTGTTAATATTGCATCGCAACTAACCGACACGTACGTGGGAGTTTAGCGCGTTTTCCGGCGATGGAAACTGAATCCTTACCAGTTGTTATATTTTAGGGAATGAAAAGAAGTCGTACAGGGCCAGATCGGGACTGTAAGGAGGGTGACCCAAGACTTTGTCTTCACTTCGATTCGAGAATGGTTTAGATTCACAATTCGGTCGACTACAATTATTTTTATCTTTCTAAGTTGTCGAATTTAAGTCACGTGTACAGAACTTTTTTTCGCTAAAGTGTCTGAGTGGCCTGTATATCTACAACCTACGTTGAGAGACGTTTTAATAATGTAGCTTCGGTAGTTAATTAGCTAAGCGGACTGCTGGGATTCGAGACTGAAAATAAAGGAGAATAATTTATAGCTAGACAAAGAAAAATGTTTTTTGCGCGAAGTCTGGGAATTTCAAACTCGACGCCATCCCTCCTTGCGGAATACGTTTTGTTGAAATCGGCATCTCGTCGGTTAGTAATTTTGGACTTTTTCTACTGTTAAATTGTTTGTGTTGGCAGTTGCAAGTTTAGAATAGTTTTACGATTTGGCGCAGTAATTTTGCCTTCATAAACTTTGTTAAGTTTTCTTTTTAGTATTCCTAAGTAAATTTGTTCCTCGAATTATTTTAAAAGTATTATCGCCATTTTTTACTAAATCCATATTGGTAAAAAATCATCGCCATCAGATAATATTGATCTTCGATGAAGTTTTAGAAGCTGTTTTTATACCTATTACATACTTCCTAGTATAAAACTTGTTTGAAACAATGAGCTGTTATAGGTCTCATTATGCAAAAACAAGGTAATTTAGACAAGATGGAATAATATTCATGACGATAACGTCAGTAGTAGTTTTTCAACGGTTGGCCGTTGTAACAACTAAAAAACCTATCGGTGTCGTCTTTTAATTTTTCTTTGGTTTTCTTAAATAAGATTACTACAGATAGATTTGTCGGTCGTAGAAAAGCTCGCGAGCTTCTTTATCCTCTTCTTCCTCTTGAAGTAATCCCACTTTAACTTCCCTCTTCTTCCACCTGCCCTTATCCCACCTAGATGAGGTTGCGCATGCGAATAATGTTGTTAATGATATTGGCTAGGATTTTCACAACGGGCCACCTACTTGACGTCAACTCCTTTTATGCTGCTGGGATTCTTTTAGATGTGCATTACATCAACTTAATAATATTTCTTTTGTAAATTAAGTTCGTTGACGGGCTCTTTAAAACTAAATCCCCTTTATTGTATTCAGTTTTTAAGAGCCCGTCAACGAACTGGAACTAAAATCGAACGAAAGTAGACATCGCAAAGACAGAACACCTTTTCTGACCCACAACGAGAAATGTACATACAAACGAAATCGCTTCACTCCTTTACGCCACCTAGTTCTTATAACAACGTCAACTGCGTCTAACTTATCAAACAGCTTTCTGGTACTTAAAGATTTCCTGATATACTACTCATAAGTTCGCATTTAAGAAACACAATTATAAAACCATAACTCGAAACCGTCTTATAAATACTCACTTGGAGATAAAGTTTGACAATTCACAATGCATTGTTAAAGAATGATAATTTTTTATTTCCCTATTTATACAGTTGTTGTAAAATAGCAGTTCATGACATGCATTAAGTTAGCACGGCGAAGCGGTTAACTTGATGCGATTTCATTTTGCTATAAAATCAATTTTCACCTCAGTTAAACGTAATTTCTAATTTTTAAGGTTGGGAGCTAATTTGGACAATACTTCACCGCCGTCATGTTGAAATGTAAGTACAATTTTGATACTTTTCAAATAACTATACACTTCGGTTTTGGTTTTCTCTTTCATAAGTGTATTTATAATTCGTTATTAAATATTTAATGCGCCCTTATGTAAAATCCCGCAACTAGCTATAATAAGATTTTTAATTATTTATGCTTCATTGTTCTCTCCCTTGAATTCATAAAAAAAATACCAGTTAAATCAAATAATTAGATAGGACTTCCAAGGAATACTTATAGGGCGCTGCGTTATTCTAGAGCTCTGATTCTCAGTCACTGTCCCGCGAAATTCTTAAAATATAGCGTCAAATTTTAGAAATGTATAGAGAGTAAAAACTGTAATGCTTTTTTTCAATTATGTTTGTTTGGGTTCGTAATCCATTTGTGATAATAAGTACTTCTGTATTTGAATTAACTTTAATGAAGAGGAAAAACTTGAATAATAGTTGAATATTACTAGTTCGGTATTCGCTTAAATGGAATGACTATACACATTGGCCAATTTCACTAATATCATCGCTTGAATAATTTAGGTATGTTCTGTTGAATCAACATATGTAAGTACTGTAGACTATAGGGTTAAGTTCTAACTACACTGCACCACGTTACCTATAATTATTTGTATGTAATAGTTTGTAATATACGGAACATACCTGTAATCAACATTAATCAACTGTATCAAGCGTCACCCGTTCTATAACGTGACGGTAAAAGATTTTTCAAAGTTTGAATAATAAAAAATACATTCGTCAAATGCTAACTAAAGTACTCTGCCATCATCGGTCGGATTCTACAATCCCAATAGGTGTGGATCCACTCTGTTGAGGCACTTAGCATTCTTAACATTTTGAAAAACACTATGAAACGACAACTAATCACTACATAGTATAAAACAAAATCGTCCGCTGTCTGTCTGTTCCTATGTATGCTTAGATCTTTAAAACTACGCAACGGATATTGACGCGTTTCTTTTTCTAGATAGAGTGATTCAATAGGAAGGTTTATATGTATAATACATTGCACCGCTAGTAAGAAATAAAATAGGAAAACAATAACCGCAAACAGAAATGTCGCCTCAGCCTCTGTTTTCCAACGATTGTCCG